GTAGAGTTTGAGTTACATACAAATGTTCATAATTGAAACAATGCTCCTATTATCAGCAGGTGCTCCATCATGGTAGACCTATGAAAAGCCTTACATTATGGATCTATGATTTCTTATATTGAAAATAAGTTACATTGTCATTAATTTATCATAAATTCCCTTGTAGTAACATCATAAGAAGCAGCCCACTGTTTTTGTAAATACGTAAGATTGTAATATCCATCATCAGAAAGCTTACTTACACTGACAGATTTTATATGCTTTTGCCTGTCTGACTTTCACAACCTGGAATACGTAATTGAATTCTAAATATCATAAAGTCAACAAGAACTGAAGTGGAAGCTGTGTAACTTCAAAACTTCTCAGTCTTGTCAGCCTCCCTAAAATAAGTTCACAGCACTAGATTAGAATGCTGCTGTTTCTGCCATTTCAATGTGTTATACCTGGTTTAGGAGTGTTTCCAAAATGTGAGCAAAACCATGATATTTTCTGGAGGATGGCCTATTTGAGCAAATTTAGACTGGCAAATATTTAAATGAAGTTTAGTATTTAAATTTTTAAAAAATATTTAATGATTATTTAATAGTAGAAATCAGATTTTAATTGTTTAATTTTGAAGAACCTGTTAGAGAAAAGTAAAGTTCAGAGGCATTTATGTTCTGGGTGTTACTTTCTAAAGCAGCACTGATAATGGAGGAGTACCAACCCTGAAGTAAATTTTAACAATAGTATTGAATACTGTGCTGCGAACGCAGTTTTTCCTCTTACAGCTTATTAGACTGCTCTGTGGACTGAGAGCAGTTCCTTAGTCTGTACCTCTCCTTAGTACAGTTGTGAGATCAGGAAGCGTACAATGCCAAAAATACACAATCTAAGACTGGTGGTATTTTTCTTTAACATGCTTTGTCTTAAAAGATCCATTAAGTTGTTCAGTGTTTTAGTGCAACAGCATATTGGCAGTGGAAGTGCTCAATAGGTAAATGTGTTCTTCAGAAAGAATACTAAAAGGTGAAGGCAGTGAGAGTCTGCATTCTATATTAATGTTGTGATGCAATGTTAAAGAAAGACTACTATACACAAAATGGAATTACTTTGCCCCCAAATCACTTTGGAGAGTGTCAGTAAAAAAGGTGCTAAGGGTTCTGCCACTCCTAGACAGAAGGCTGAATGTAGCTATAGCCTTTTTAATGTTAGTCCACAGGGAAGTGCAAGTAGGCATTTGGTGATACTTTAACATACCAGACACAAACTCTATTTACAGTAGTCAAATCCAGATATCCTTGGATGTGATAGCCCATTTGTTTCTTCACCAAATGATTGCAAAGCCAAGAAGAGATTGTGCTGGTTAGACTTGATAACTGGTGAAGACCAAGAAGGACAAGTGACAGGAACATTATTGGATCATGTTCATACAAGCTGATTCGGGACAAGCAGGAATAGGGCTGCAGTTTTGAAAAGAGAAACTATGAGAAATAAAAGGAGCTGGTTACTCACAGTGAAGAAATTGAGTACTCGCCTTCAGGAGATGTCTGAAATTTCTTTAACTTGAAAGCAGTGAAATCAGCCAACCAACAAAACCTTGAACTTTTCATTCGGCCTAGGAGGGGAATGTGAGACCCTCAGGAGCATCCCATGGGGTCCCACCAGTCACCTATCTCGCCTGATATTCTCCTCCCAACAGCAGCGGTAGAAGACACTAGGAAGAGTCCACATGGGTGTAGCCACTTTATGCAGCCCATCCCTCTGATACGCCTCAGCGCCAGCGTTGCTGTTTTAGGGATGTTAGAGTACTTTGCTATCTGGTGCTCCTGAGCATTCTTTTTGGACCTAAATTTGTGTTTATTATCAGTGTTCTGAAGCTACTAATGCTGTTTACATCTACAGCCTCCGGTAGCAACAAGTTCCAGAAGCTCACAACTTGCTAAGAAAGAAACACTTTCTTTTGTTTGTTTAAAACTGATCTCCCAGTCATTTCATTGAATGCTCCACCATTCTTATGGAAAAGGACTGCAGAGTTACTGGAAGAGTCCCCATTGCATTGTTAGGGAAGAGTTGTGGCTTAGAGGTTAGTTGGGTGTCAATTTAAAGTGAGCACTATCAAAAGCTCTTGGTACAACAAAAGTTCCTTGCTACAATTTTGAAACAAGAACATCAGCACCAGTATCCAGTGAGGATGAGCGATAGAGTAAGAATAAGGTATGACCACTAAGTAAATGCCTTGCCTTATTTTCCATAAGAACGGGGCCTTGTAGAGGAGCAGAGGTAGGAGGAATAATAAAAAATAAAACCAAAAAATCAGTTCTGAGGTGGAAAGAAACCTCAAAGATCTTCAAATTTACATTACAAAAACCAGATAACTTTCCATTCATAATAATGAAAGAGCGGGCATATGAAATTGCAGCTTGGGTAATAAAATTTTTGTTGAATCTATCGAAAGAGAGAGTCTGCCTTCTAAATATAAACCACAGAATTTATGGGGGAAAAATGATCTATATCAACAGAGAGGCTGCTTGACCTCAGCCACACTCAAGGCTTTGAAATAAAATTTGGTGGGAGATTATATTTAAGGGTGTGGATTTAAGTGAAAATTGGATAAAATTCAATACAGATTTAGGAAAATGAACTATTTGCAAATTAACCGTATATTTTGTTTTCAACAAGGCAATTGTGATAAAATTAATATATCAGTCATCTTCAGGAAAGCATTTGATGTAGCACCACAGGGAAAATTATTACTTAAATCCTTCAACATAGGAATTAATGCAGCATTTGTGAGGATGAATAAGGACTTCCAAACCTACCTGGCACTGTCTCTGCTGAAAAATCAATTAGTGGCATGGTAGGAAGTCATCAGTCCTAGGTCTTAGGATTTGCCATATTGCATTTAATTGTAAAAGTTGGAGCGTGCTGGTTAAAACAGGATAGTATGATGGGGCGGCATTATCAGGTCATCTAGTCCATTCCCCCTGCAGTAAGCAGAGACATCTTCAACTACACCAGGCTGCTCAGAGCCCCGTCCAACCTGACCTTGGATGTTTCCAGGGGTGGGGCTTCTACCACCTCTCTGGGCAGCCTGTGCCAGTGTTTCACCACGCCCACTGTAAAAAATTTCTTCCTTATATTTAGCCTAAGTCTAGCCTCTTTCAATTTAAAACTACAGCCCCTTGTCCTATCGCAACAGACCCTGCTAAAAAAGATTGCTCCCTTCTTTCTTGTAAGTCCCCTTTGTGTACTGGAAGGCTGCAATAAGGTCTTCCTGGAGCCTTCTCTTCTCCAGGCTGAACAAGCTCCCCAGCTCTCTCAGCCTGTCCTCCCAGGGGAGGTGCTCCAGCCCCCTGAGCATCTCTGTGGCCCTTCTCTGGACCCGCTTGAGCAGGTCTGTGTCTTTTCTGTGCTGGGGGCCCCAGAGCTGAACACAGCACTGCAGGTGGGGTCTCACCAGAGCAGAGGGGCAGAATCACCTCACTCAACCTGCTCACTACGCTGCTTTTTATGCAGCCCAGGGTACAGTTGGCCTTCTGGGCTGCGAGCACACAGTGCTGGCTCATGTCCAGCTTTTTGTCCACCAGACCTGAGAGACTGAACAGTTTTGATAGTCCATGTTCACAAAAGGATGTAAACTGGTTTTGAGTAAACTTCATTTAGGAACTGAGAGAAGGTTTATCAAGTGAATTTCTACAACAGCCTTCCATTAGTGAGGACACAAAACCTTATCTCTAGATGAGGTATGTTTACAGAAGACATTTAGCATATTTTCAGTGAGAGCCACACGAGTTTGTTCTCAATGACCCTTGTGTTCCTCAGTTTCCGATCCAAACATCAAATATTCTGCATACTGAAACTAAAAATAATGTCCAAATATAATTGCTGACAAAGTTTTTAGAAGAATCAGCAGCAGACAAGCTCTATTTTGGCTCAGATACTGTAATTATGAGATGCTGCAGGAAATCTGTTCCCCTAAGTGAGAAAATAAGTACTGTTATTCACAGGAAATAATATCTGGAAGGATGATACCAAGACTATATGAAACAATAAATATTTGGGAAACTGATTCTTCTTATTTTTCTGCATTACCATTAAAATATGCATAGTGATGGACTGTGATTATTTGAAAAAAAACTTTAGGAATATGGAAATTGTAGCTAGCAATTAAGCATTTTGTAGAAAATACAGCGAGATTAACAAGCAGTGAATTGCTTCTGCCTCATTTTCTTATTTGAATTCCTTATGTGAATTCAGTTCCTTTTTAAATGAACATTATTCAAGATAAAAATGACATCAAACTGAGCATTTTCTGTGGCTTTTTTGGAGGTGAATACCAAGCAGTGAGCTCTCTGGTTTATTTGCCATTATGAATTCAGCTTGCTGTCTCTCATCTTTGTTAAGGGGGAAAAAAAAGAAGTCGTCAAGAAGAAAATGACAACCCGTTTTTCTGTAGCAGGGAAAGAAAAGCAGAAGCAGGCAGTCTGAATGCCATGTTTTTAGTGCTCTGGAAGCGCTTCTCTTGTGCAACTGGGCTGAGGGAGAGCCTTTTTTTTCCCAGCGTCACTGCAATCAGATCTATGGGTGCAGCTCTGCTTTACCGCAGCGTGATGCAGTTGTGTACAGTTCAGCGTGCTCTTCTTGGAAACAGGCGGAAGGAGAGCAGCTGACCAGAGCATGCAGAGGATATTCATTAGAGGGTGGGTTTTTTCCTAAAGCTAAACAGTACGTGTGAAATTCCGCCAGCTGCAGAAGAGACGGTTTCAGTGGGGCTTCAAGTTGATACTCGGTACGCAAGAGGAGGTGCATGCACTCGGGCTGTCAGCTTCTGATGGAAAAAAAGCTTCAGAGAGGCAGACTGCACATTATTAAAAGCTCAGCTCAGACACCCTTCGGGAAGGTACTCTAACTGTGCTTATGGAACAAGTGCTGTGGTACTGTATATGCCTTGACTGACCGGAAGAAATTTGTCCAGTTGTGGAATGGAATAAATGAAAATAAATACTGAGAGGGTGAGGGAATAAAATACCCTGCAGACAGAATTAAGTACAAGCCCCGGAGGAAGAGCAAAGGACAAAAATCTCATGGTGTGTTTTTGTTGTTGTTGTTGTTGAGCTGCTTTTTTTTTTAATGAGCTTACCTACCATGAACGGAAGAAGTGGATCTACGGAGACTTCATTTCCTCCTCTGACCCCTCGTTTACATCACTAACTGGTGACAGTCACATCTACATACATAGTACCTGCTACTTCAGCTGCTCAGAATTATAGAAGCCTCTTTGTATGCAGCAGACATGGCTAGCCAGCAGGATTCAGGCTTCTTTGAAATCAGTATCAAATATTTACTGAAATCCTGGAGCAATAGTGAGTAGCAGAAAAGTAATCTTTTGATATTACGCATTGCTTGGTAAATGGCTAGGATAACCTAAAGGATAAAATCTTATATTTCTATATGTTTGTGTTATATAAACCAAGTAATTTTTGCCTTTGTCAGCTCTAAAAATCAGAATGTCAGAGATTTAAATAGGTTTCATTAACTGCAAAGGCTGTAATGAGATTATACTAGATTTTGCCTGATTGAATTCTGAAGTTAGTCTGCTTTCTGGCTCTCTCTAATAGTACATTGCAGGGAGTGCATTCCAAGCAGCGTTTCCTGCCTACATGTTTATTTGATTAGTTCAGGCTTTATCTAAATATTTTTGAAAATGTTGTTTAATCACAAGGGTGTGGCATTGCTCAGAAGTTGTTTTTTATCAATTGTGCACCAAGGACAAAAATATAATGATTATACTTCAGGTCTGAAAATCATTATTTTAATGTGATGAAGAGCAAAACATCAGATGCTTATAGCTGCACTTCCCACCCTCTATGCTTAATTTCAGAATCTTATGCAATATTTCCATCCAGAAAGAATCCATCTGTTTATCTAATTCAGGCTGGGTTTTGCAGAATGTAAACAAATAGCATTTTAGTCTTCTTTGGTCTTTTCAGTATTGCTGTTCCTGATATCCATTGCTGTTGAAATCAATCACTCTTCAGATTTTTAGCAATGTTATGTAATGAAGATCTTAATAAAATTTAGTGCTTGCAAATATATTCAGTTTAAGTAAGGCCATGGAATAACTCTGTCAGAAATTTGCTTTGTAATTTAAAATACGTGAACAGTGTATTCCTTTTCTATAGAAGCTTGTATTAACAGTGCTAAATCTCCATAATTAACTGTTTTTAAAAGATAGAACACAGTGTCTCTGGAAAAATCCAGCTTGGCTAGATATGCAATAAGGTTCTGATCATCTGACACTATCTATAATTTAATAACTTTGCATAAAACACTGGTATTCTAAAATTCTATGGTATAAAAAATTGCAAATATCTGCTTAATACAAGGAGTGTATCTGCAAAGAAATAAAAATAACACTGTATTAGATGTGTGACATGCAAGACTTGTCTTCATTAAATGATATCCATAGAAACTGTATTTTTCCAGGTCATTTGTAACCTCAGTAACACTGTGGTGCTTGTTTGAATCTGTTTTTCTACCACAAGTGTGAAGCCACTAGGGAATAATGCTACTACCTAAACAGCATTGCTTATCTGCCTTCTTTCCAAACTATTCAGTGCATATTCATTCAAATCAGTGATCCCACAAGGACTACAAGAGAATTTTGTGATTTAGTTACCTTTTTGGACCAATGTTAATCAAATACTGAGAATGTAAGTGTGTATTGTGACGACACATATTTTGTAACAACCTAGTTGCAGTTTATCACAGGAGGAAAACAAGTCACTTTATGGTGCAGAAATCAAATCAGTTCTGGCAATATTTTTGTAACAGACTACTGTAACTTTAAGACTAAGTAAAACTAGCACTTAAGGATATAAAAATTACTACATTGTGGAATTAAATACAACATTTTGATTTTTTTTTTCTTTTTCCTCTACATCAAAGTATATTGAAGTATTTCAAAACAGCGAAGATGTTAGAAGTCCTTATATGAAATCTGTTTTAGGCAACTGGAAATAGTATATGAATAATTGGTATTTCTGACATTCTTTTAGCTGATAAATACACTTTCTACTGTATTTGAATAAACAGTAAGAGGAAATACAAGAAATTAATCCAGGTTGACTTAAACTTGTTGCCAGTTATTTTTTTTTGCTTTCAGTCTGGAAGGCTATGTTCATAAACCTGCACATATCCTTTCTAGCTGAAAAACAAACCATTTGATAAGAAGACAGTAGGGAGTTCAAAAGACCTAAGGCTTTCTTCAGCTCTGCTATGTGATGGGTGGAGCAGAGGAAAACACTTCCCTTGCTTGAGAAACTGCTGGGAAGCCTGCACATGCATGCACACAAACGTGTTTTTCAGAGAATTAGGTGCTGTGTCTGCATACCCAAGCACAGAAGTAAGCTATAAATTATGCTGGGGCACTTACCTATAGCAGAAAGAGGTCTAACGTACTGTTTTAAAAGAAAAATAACTTTGGGTCCTGGAGTATATATTTTGCTGAAATGGTAACAGCATAGAGGTGCTGTCTATGTATATTTCTGTAAATTGGCACTTTAAAACAGTAGCTGTAAATACCATTTATCCTTTCCAAGCTTTATAGTCCCACCAAAACCAGTCCTTTCTACTGATTTGTGTTTTGGCTTACATGGAGCATTAGCACTTTCTAATAGACTCCCAACTGCACCCATTACCCATACCATAGCATGAAATATACTCAGTTTTTCTGCCGGGGGTGACAATTTTCTCTCGTTTTGCTGTCATCTAAGGTGTTTAACAAACTGGCATTCTTGACATGCCGGGCAGGATTTCAGTTCAGTGTCATACAGCACCTGCAGAGGTGTTCACCTAGCGTGCTGCTTGGATTTTAGTTTTCATCAATCAGCTGAGGTGGCAGGTAATTTATGGGCACTGGAGTCAGTTTGTTTTAGGTACTTGTTAACTATTGTAGTCAGGATGATGCAGTCGGTGGTGTGTTCTCAGTGAGCACGCACTCTTGTTCCCAGGGGACAAAAAAGCCAAGTCACAGTCTGGCCTTTGAATCATCCCACCAAACTGAGAGACCTCAAAATACTCCTTTGTGCAGCTCTCAAAACAGACTTTTGGTCTGCACATGTCAATAAGATACTGTGCATGTCATGTAGTTCTGGAAAATATTCCTGTAATCTGTTGGAGGTGGGATCAGAATTGGGATTCTCTGGTTGGAAAATAAGAATAATCTTTTTTTTTAACTGATCTCATTTGTGTTCTGACGTTTTCTTAAATATTCAAGTATTTTTGATCAATGCTGCATTAGTCAATAACTGCAAAGTCTGCATTAATCAACAATTGCATTAATCATTTGCATTCCTTCTTTTTGAAATTACTACTAAAATGGCCATGCTTACTCAAGGTGAGTAGTGCTCACTTGGTCCACTGGGGTCAATAAGATGACAAGAATAAAATAGGGCTCACCAAAAGTAGGATGATTAAGAGTTTTTCATCAGATTTGTTATGGAAATACTGCAAAATACTTTTTGTAAATAAATATTTGTAATTTATTCAAAGAATAACATGTAAATCCAAATGTTAAGAATTTGAATCTACTCTTTCATTAGACTGTTTTTTGGTTTTGAATTAATCAGATAATTAGATTCCAGTTTATGCAGTTTCTAGATCAGATCAGCAATTAAATTTATTGGAGGAAAGGATTCTGTAGAAGAATCCGAACGGTGCAGGTAGATGGCTCACTTGTGCTCTCACAAGTCAGCTCTTATGTGGGCTGGTAGACACTGCATTTCATTGTCTCCCAGTTACTGGAGATAGATTTGAAGGTGTCTTTTTGTGTAATGAAATGAGAGCGCACTTTTTGCATAGTGTACATTTTCATTTTATTTGCCACTTCTCATAGAACGGAGTTATCTTCAGGGCCTTATTTTCAGGATTACAGCACTTGTTTATCTACCTTTGAATGACAAGATATTTTTTTTCTGTGAACTTGTATTTAAATTAGACTTGGAATGAGGGCTTTTTCAGTATTAGGACTTCAGGTCTCTTTCCCACACTTTGCTGCCTTCTTCCACAGTAGCCACCATCCACATCAAAAGCCTCCTATCCTCTTCACTTTAATGCTCCACAAAGCCCATTGCTCAATCCTCCTACTATACACTGCTCTCTTTGTGCTCCTGCATGTCCGGTCCCTGTAGCGGTGGCTGGCAAAAGCCATTCGGTGTTTACTAGTGGTGGTAACATCAGGGACAGCTTAATCCTGGGGGCACACAGGCACTGATGTCAGCTATTGCTCACGTTGCTCAGACACAGCAGCATCCCACAGTGGTCCCAGAAGGACCTCTGTCTCCTCTGTGGCTTGCTGGTCATGGACCAAGCTGAACGCAGTGCTAGCATCGAAACAAGTTATGTTGTCAGAAGAGCATCAGGCATCAGAGAAACTTCTCAATGGGCAATGTGAAGCCCGAGGGGTTGTTGGCTGCCAAGTGGTCAGCCATATTCTGTTCTGCTCTTGAAGATGTGTTTCTACCATGTCAGGAACAGAAATTAATGAAGGACATTTAGTCCTTCATTAAATGAATGTGATACATTTAGCAATAAAATTCAAGGTTTTTACAGAGAATATTCATGAAGTCCTGTGTCTGTGAGCCAGAGAAAGGGAAGGCCATGGGCAGTTTCTTAGGTAAAAGTCTGCATTATGTCTAAGTTCTGTGGTGCAGTAGTTTGATATTCTAGTAAGATTTTATTGTGCAGGAAGATGATAACAGCTGTTTTGCAAGGGGTAACTTATCTGCAGGCAAACATAGACCTGTTTAAAGCTGAATACGCTAAGCACACCATGCTATCAGACTTAGTGATTATAGCAAGATACCAATGAAGGAAAAAGGCTCCTTTGTGTTTTTCAGTGCCCACTTAAACACACTTACTGAACAAGAAGAACCTATCCTTCCCTGCCATCTCTCTTGTTCTGGCATGCCTACTCTTGCAGACCCAAAGTGAGCTGATGCAAGAAGCTGATGTGCTGCAAACTCACCCTGCAGGGAAAGGTTCACTTCTTGCCTGAAGCTGGGGAAGGGACGGGGGTATGTGACTT